ACAATGCACTCTGTTCCCTCATCCAGGTCAGGGTTCTTTCCTGTTAGACACCAATACCTTTCCTAATACCTCAGTCTTATTTTTGTAGTCATGAAGACCAAAAATAATCCCTGTTGCAGTTTGCCAAAGTGATATGATGACATCCTACAAGTTTAAGAGCAGGTGCATGCCATGTTTCAGAAATGCTTTCAAAACCCTATAGGAATTACATATATATACACATCCATACACAAAGATACCATTAGATCCCAGAACACTGCCTGCCATTAGACTGCTTGCCTCCACAAACAAAGCATCTTTCTTCTCAGTACCTTTAAAATTTTGGACATTGGAAACTAGCAGCAAAGCAAATCTTATCTTCTTGAACTACACTGACACTTCCTGGTTCATCCAGAGGATCAGACAGTGAGGGCCACTAAGCAGTCTTGCATCACCTTAATCTGAAAGCAGTGGCCACACAGAGGCTTGCTACTGAGCTGAGAATCCATTTTGCTAATGGGTTTTTCCAAATATTTGCTGTTTGCAGAGGACTCAAGATTCCACTTGGGGTTTAGTAATGGACCTTCCTCTAAACTGTCACACCATGAGTGTCACATCAAATCTAGTTCATTTCTTCCAGTCCTTTCTTTTCCAGCAAATATTTTCTTTGCAAACCTCTCCTTCAGCTGCTTTATTCTTATTTCTAGGAACTCAGTCTGGGACACATTTATAAAGGTTCCTCCAGCAATTTCAGTTCTTTTCCACTGCTCCATTTCCTCACCCAGTCGACCCCTGGTTTTCCTCTAGTACTGATGCTCATTTGCCCTCCCATAGCTTCCCTGAATTCCCCAGTACCAACCTAGCGGGGTTTTGCTTATAAGCATTCATTACATGTCACACTGTATCTTTCTCCAGGATATCTGGGCTGCCACATTAGAAATTACTAAAAAAAAAAAGTTTTCTTTCTTTAAAAAAGACAAGGAAAGCTAAAAGCAGGAATAGATAATAATATAAGAATACATATTTAACACAAGATGGAGTCTTCCAGAAGTTAGCTGTCAATATCTAACAATTCTCCCATAATACTGTCACAAATCTTAGCAACCCCATCCAATAAGGTTCTTCTACAGATTTAACAAAAGGCTCTCATAAACACCTAACTATCACTTCTCCAGCATAGTGGAAGACTTTGCTTCAAATCACACATATGCAATAGCTTCACACGTAAACAACTGTGCATTTTCAACGTGAGCACAGTATTTTCCTTTTACTCTTATTTTCCAACAGAGGCACGGGTTTGTGGAAGCCTTCACAGTCAGTTTTTCCTCAAGGAGAGTTCTGAACCTGAGCAATTACAACAGAAAGCAGCAGTCAGCTTTCAGAACAGCTAAGAATTGACACCAACAAAACGATGGAAGATACACAATGAACCACAGTGGAAAGGCAGCTTCTAATTCCTATATTCTAAAATGCAGAGTGAGTCAGGCAAAAAATAAATTCTACAATAAGCACCAGCAAGACAAAGCACATTAGAAATATTTTCAAAACTTTTGGAAAGATACCAATAAACACCATCTCCTCTCCAAAGCTTTATTGGACTACACTAGCCACAACAGCAAAAACAAATGTTTGCCTAGAACAGATATAAACAAATCAAGCCAGCAAATGCCTAGATCTAATCCTAAAAAAACCAAACATTACCCCCTCCCGGCCCCACTAGTACTTCTAACTGCTCTTTAACAAAACAAAACAAAAATATCAACAACAAAACCAGCCAAATATTCAGAGGTGTTTCATTGGTAACAACATTAAAGCACTTTACTCTTCATACATCTCTATTTTGCTTATGTACTAGAGAGATTTGTTGCAGTAATACAAATTTATAATACAATCATGCTGAACTCAAGTAAAGACAATTCTATTTCTCTGTTTTCAAGGAAATACGAAGATTTCTTAAATACTCTTGGAATTCAGAGTATATTTTGTTCGTGAATCATCTTCCATTCCAGACATCAAGTGGCTAAATGTCTTACTACTCTGCCTCCACCAAAGTCCCCTCTAGAGTAACTTGTATAAACATAGTTAAGCTCACGTTTCAAGTGACTGTGAATACGCAGTTCCCACAAGTTTTATGGTATAATTATCAAATTCTTAAAGAAGGCTGCATTTAACATTTGCAGTGTTATTCCAGAAACTATGCTGTTTTCCAGTTTGAGGAACCAAGTACGTTCTAATTCTTGTAGTTATATTAAAAAAATTATTTGGAGTTAATATTCATGGAGCCTTATAGGAGTGCCAGGATATTAAAATAAAAACTTAATCCACTAAGTTAGTTAAATATTTGTGAAACTGAGTTACATGACATACAAAAAACTCTGTACAGTGCTGATGGGCCTACATTACCAGTCCGAGGCAAATCCAAAAATTTAAGCTCAATAGCTCCAACTCAAAAGGTCTACTGCAGTAGACATTGTGCTGTTCTTCAAGGTATTTCTGTTATGTAAAGTCCAAATGTACACATATCACAAAAACTGCATCCTTTGAAAATAGGAAGTAAAAGATTAGGGACCTACATCAGCCAGACAATTCCACAAAAAAGTCTACTCAGTAGTCGGGAAAACTCAAATCAGCTTTCCGAAAAGGAGAGTTACTCTTTCACAGGCACTACCCTGCAAGCACGACTCCCTTTTTCTTTGTCTTTGCTGTCAGTAAACAAACAACTAAACAGAAATTCTTCAGGTCAGTAGGACAGGATTTCATAAAGCTCTTCTTACATTGAATAGACAAAGGAACAACATGCTAAGTTTTATCATGTTAATCTCGTGAGGGAGGTTTCAGATTAACAAACATCTCAAAGTATGATTAATAGTTACTATAAATTCAAATAATATTGACCAAATATCAATGTGTAGTTGTATAAAACAACATGCAAAGGAACATCTTCAAGCTTTCCCTTTCCAAATCCACTGACAAGACAACCTTGAATAAAACTTGCCATACTAGCACTTTCAATTAATATAAGGCAAGGTTTATAGGGAGAGAGAATATCTTACAAGACACAGCTGGAACAAACAGACAAGCTCTTCAATCCTGTCTTCAGCTCTGAAACAGAAGCAGCAAATTCCAACCCAAGCTCAGGCCAGGAACAATTTTTCTGAGCTTAACTTGATTAAATTGTCAAAGTGCTTAATTTTTAAGATAAAAGGATGGTTGGTCCTGTGGAGCAAAAGGGGAGGTAAGCAAGAGGAGATAAAGTTACCTATCTACAGGTGGTAATCATCCCTCCCCCAAAAAACTTAAGATAGCTGGACTGAATTATATGGAAAACTAAAGTTCCATTTAAAAAAACCCCCAGTAATTACTGAGTCTGACTTCTGATATTCAAAAGAAATCAGAATTTTCAACTCCTAGGTTCCTATCTTTAGGGTATTTCTTACAGCTCCTCTTAGAATCACCACCACCATCAATTACAGTTCAGCGTTGTTAAGGTACTGCCAAATGGAAAATGTAAGTACAAAAATGCTGAATCTCTTTTAATGTAGAGGTTAATTCAGGTCTAACTCACTTGCTTATAGGCCACACATACATCTTCAACATTATTCAGAAGCCAAGTGAATTAAAATTTTCAGTACTAAATCAATCCAGGAGTAAAAATACGCTAAATGGTTTTCATTACGTACTTAAGCCCAGGAATATGAGCTATACAGACTGAGAAAAGCTTACGTTGATATTTTCTAACTGCAGTAGATGTACTGTGTAATAGGATTTGACGTCTTCAGATACTAGCCTCACACGGAAACCTGTTTCACTGAATGTCATAACTTCCTCTTCTTTTGTTGGCCAGTACTGTGCACACTTCACCTATTTTTTAAGGAAAAAAAAAAAAGAAGGGGGGAAAAAAAGAAAATAAAAATTTGGTTAAGTATCCTAGTACCTTGGGCTTCGCATGAGCAAATTCTGAGACCCCATTATTCAATATAGTAGACCCAAGTACCTGCTCCCAGTCTGAGGAATGCTCAAAGTCCATCATGTTTACAGCCAAATTACTACAATTGTTTCAATAGTTATGCATTCCAGCTTTATCTGTTTATCCTTTCTTTTATTGCAGGGCTAGCATGTTTTGATATACAGCTCAACCCTTCTCCCTCTACCCGCTCTAGTTCTCTACAGTGAACAGAGATCTTTACTCAACTGTTTCAACAACATTTCCCCCTCCATTTCTGACAAGCACACCTGCACATTTACATAACTGATGTAACACATCCGCTTTTCCCAAGGCTTGCTGAATACTGGGAGATTCTAGCGAAACAAAAGAAATAACTAACAAAGCAATGCAAAACTGTCCCTTGTCCTTTATTCCTCTTGCCTTGCACTCAAACTTTCTGTAGGAAATTTTTTGCATAAGAAAATGAGTGCCTTTTTAATAGACTAGTCAAATCTTTTTCCACTAACAAATCTATTCTGTAGAAAAACCATAAACCTCAAACGACATGCATTTATAACGAAAATCCACAGTCCTTTTAGGCACGTTAGCAGAAAAACTACATGATAACGGAAGATTCACGCATTATGCATGTATACCACCAGCTGTAAAGAATCAAAAATAACTAGATCAGTTTGACAGTTGCTGGGCAGCAGCTTGTCTTCATTATCACAAACAGTTAAGATCACCATGTAACAAATATACTACTCCATTAGATTTAGAAGAAATAATACTTCAATTCAAACTTGTTTTCCCACCTTCCATTTTCTTCTAGAGCACCTTACACTACTTCTACTCCATCTTATTTCTATCTGTACATCCTCCTTTCTCAGGATGTTACTTTCACCTTTCTGGATGTGTATTTATTAGATGCCATTTTCACCAAGCAAAATTTTGTGTCTTAGCTCCATCACTTTAATGCTGTATTAAATACATGTCATGCTGTACCCCAGTGAGAAGTGTAGAACTGTTAGTTCTTTTAGCATAACAATCAGACATTGTTCAACTGCATTAACATTTTGTGGCTTACTTACAACTTTAGGCCTATAGTACTTACCGACTCTTTTTCGACAATCCTGTTCAGCATGACAACTGCTTTGGTTTGTTGTTGCCATACCATTAGCCAAAAATGACAACATGTATTAGGTAGTGGACCCTGCATAGTAAAGAAAAAAAAACAGATGGGAGGATATATAGGCAAAGCAGTGTTGGAACACAGTTAAGTAACCACACTAGTATATATATATAAAACCCCAAACCACCAAACAAAAAAACCTAGCAAAACAGTAAGAACTCAGGTAAGGAATGCTTCAGTTTGGACTTAAATACTATTGTGCTGATAGAAGAAAAGCTATTGCAGGCATGCTAAGAAGCACAAGATGAAATAAGGAGCCAAAGTCTTGTTGTAACCTATTTCCAAAAGAACTGAAAAAAAGCAAGAAGTATTTGAAAAGCTTTATAAGCAGTAAATTATTCATACTTAAATATGCCTTTAGCTTTTTCTTAAAATATAAAATACTGTGCTCACAACCAGATCAAACAGGCAGTTAGTATGAGATATGTAATTCACAGAGATAAGGAATCATCCAACTACAAATTATGACTGTACACATCTCCCTCCTGCAGATTCTCAATCCCTGTAATAACCAAGTAATTGGTACTACTTACCTGTGTTAAAATATAGTATCTCTGGGCTTCTTCTATGACCACTAGGCTGGCATTGATATAGTCATTCTCGGTGTTCTGCAGTTTTACACGACTATGATCATCTAAAATTCAAAGAAAAATAAGAATTAATGATGCACCCATCTTGATGGATACTTTGTAACAGTGAAGTTTAGTCTGACAAGCAATTAGAAATAAATTCAGCAGTACTAAACAAATGGCAAACTACAAAAACACGTGAAACTAATTTCTCATGTAACTTTGATAACCGCCCGTCTCATTCTCCCCTCAGCATTTCATCAGGGTAATTTCAGGCAGCTATTAATAGAAGCTGATCAGAAAACTGAAATATCCAGTTTTCTTTAAAAAAAAACAAACCAAACAAAGCAACCCTCCCACACAGGCCAAGAGATGCTCACAGCCATCCCTCAACAGCTGTATCACCTTAATACAACAGCACCACAACCCACACCAGGCAGCACTCTTCCTTATCACGCCAGATCACTCCACTGCATGGTTTCCTTTAAGTTCAGAATTCCAAGATTTCTGGTGAATTAAAGTTTCATATCTTGAAATAGAGTCATAAAGTTAAACTCACACAGCTAAAAAAACCAAGCTTTGATCAATTATATTTTCCCTGTAATTTATTGTTTAATACTATACAAATTGAACAAACTAAAGAAGGGGCTCATGCAGAATTATACCTATTTAACAAATCTTCCAATTAAATAAAACCTAATCGAATTACATAGTTTCACTGTGGCTGTTCCTAGAACATTTTAGTATCTGATTTATCACTCTCTAGGAGACATTTAGGTAATCAGACTTGTTCACAGTAAGTAATCCTTCAGCCATTTATTTATTAGAACTGTATTAAACAAACAGATTTTTAGTTTAAAATTTGTCCACAAGTCCATGCCAGTAAATGAGATCCAACTGACTGCAACCCCTCTGAAGCTCAACTGCCTAGACAGACTGTTTATGAGAACAGTAAATAAAAAATAGCAAACTAAAATTAAGAGACTGAATTCAACACATTTCAGGAAGCAATGGAAGAGATTCTATAAACTGACAGCTGAGAGTGAATTACAGTGCAATGGCAGTTCTTAACCTACATTCACCTGGTCTAACCCACAAAACTTAATTCAGGGCGCAGACTGATGGCACAGCTGCCGTTAAAATGTCAGCCTGCTTTTCCCTCTCCCATCCCCACACCAAAAGGCTACCTTCCTTTTGACAAACATCTTGGGCAATGCACAAAATCCACGAGTTTTGACATGATCAACTTCCAAGAATCACATTCAGTGCAGCTATGACAGCTGAACTCAGATTAAGTCCCTATATCACAGCCAGCCTACATAGCACAAGACTTATCTGAGAAATCCATGAATATGACCCCACAGAGGCAAAAAGCTGATGGGAATCAAAAAGTAGTTACTGAATTAGGCTCTTGTTCTATGGATCACTCATAGGATTTTATAAATACTTTCCATAAGTCTGGAAGCCTGGGAAAAGTACATTTACTAGGTCTTCATCTGCTCTCATACCCTCCCTCATCGGTCTGCTATTGACAACTGTCTAAGAGGATCTTGCTGGATTCAAGGAAAGAAGTCAACAGTAAATTGCTTTCCTTTTTTAAAAAAGTTTTTTTGAAGGACTGAGATTTGGGGTTGTCACCATAGCGCCTTGAGCTGCTAGCTTTTATATGCATTCACATACAAACATGCAAAGAACAGAAATATGCTGAAAACCTATTTTTAATACTAAAGTATGAGAAAGTTACTGGTTTAGTCTGTTTTCATTAGCATTCCAGCTGTAAGGCAACACCATCTTGATTTTCAGGAGTCTTAAAACAATTTATGATATATCTGTATGAAAAAAAAATATTATCAAAGCCAAAACACAGTAAAATTAAGACACATGTACATTTAGAAGTAAAATATACCTCCTTGTATTATTTTGTCTGGATAGGAAAGCATTACTTTTTCCTTTCATGTATCACTTTATCTGAAATGTTTCTACTGGAAAGAAACCAAGACCTTTGTAAATATTACATGTCATTTGCCAACAGGAAAAACTTAAGATCTTGTTATAGTAAATCACACATACCGGTACTGGTGTTCTCGGAAAGATGACGTAAGCAAGCACTGTTAACAGTTTAATCACCCAGCAGCAGCTGCTCTATTGCTGCCAGTAGGAGGTAACTGCCGAGGCCCTAATGAGGTTTCCTACTGTAACCCTTACACACATTTTCAGCCTTATTTTTTCCTTCTTATAAATTCTGCTTTGTAAACATGAAAAATAAAATCCTGAAAGTTTTTTCCCCTTTAACAACTAATTCTATGCACAGACAGCGTCCCTCCTCCTCCTCAACCGAAACAGAGGCGATCCTACAAATACACTGGTATACACCCCACAGGACAAAGAACGCCACTAGAATATACTGATGTCCCCTCTTTCAAGGGAAAAGGTTCCTAAAGGACACAATGACCCAGAAAACTCACTCAAGCCCTGGCTTGCTCTTCTGAATAAAATTAAGCAAGCCAACTTTTGACAGTGAGTTAGCTGTAACATATTTCCCGTATGTAAGCCATTTCCAGTTACAAAGTACTTTAGATTTATATGAATGATAAAACTATCTTAAATCTTAAAAAATTATCTTAAATGTTGCCATGCCCACAACAGCTAAAATATAGACTCATTTTCTGAAGTGCCAATTCCCCCATTTCAACAAACTGTGCAGCCTGAAAAGGAAGTGGAAACCTTAAAAATGCTTCTCATTTTGGCTCCTGCACTACAAAAAACTACTTCCAGAACCATCCTGTCTGAGATAAGCAAACTCTTACTACCCTCTTCAAGTGAAACCCTGTCCCACTGATATCACTGACAACACTCCCCATGTCTCAAATAAGACCAAGACTTCCCTTTACACATCAATTTGCCCGTTCTCTGCTAAAAAGAAAATTACATATCCAGTTAAAACAGAAATACAAAATGTTTGGCCTTTTATATTATACAGTTCCTGCAGTTGGTTAATGAAAGGATTTTATTTGAAAACAACTATGTTTCTGGAAGTGAAACCACCATATAACTTAAAAATGATCTTTTATCCAAGAGATGTGTCTCGCTCCCCAAATACTACAGAGTTATTAACAACAAAGGAAGGTGAAATGCTACTTAGTGGATTAAAGCAAGTCATAAATAAAACATGTAGCCATAAACCAACCCGTGACCCAGGCTGACCTTTTCCCGCCTGCCAGCAAATCCCCTTCATTTCACTCATCTAAATCTACTTGTATCTGAGCTGCTAAATTATTCAAATCACAACACCCTGTCACTAGACCTGTAGCCTAAGGCAAAGGAAAGGCAAAATTACTTTTCCCCACCCTGTCACTGGTTGTACACAATGGATGTCATCCTCTCAATGCCTGGTTCATAAACGACACCATAGAAACATAGAATGGATTGGGTTGGAAGACACTTTTAAAGGTCCAACCCTGCCTGCAGTGAGCAGGGACATCTTCAACCAGATCAGGTTGCTCAGAACCCCGTCCAACCTGACCTTGAACGTTTCCAGGGATGGGGCTTCTACCGCCTCCCTGGGCCAACCTGATCCACCAGGAGGTTTCACCACCCCCTTTGTAAAAAATTTCATAAGCATAAATGAAAAAAACAAATCATATGCATATATTTCAGTATTAATAACTACTGCATAACTAAGGATCCTTAGACTTTCAAGCAAGACTGTCAAAAAAACTTAAGATACAATAAAGTTTAGATGAGTAGGTGTTATAAAATTCCACTCTTCCCCAACCCAAAAGAAAGAAGAATCTTCAAAAGTAGCAGCACGTTGAGTTTATTTATACCATGTTTCTGGTAACAAGATGTTTTAGAGAATCACTAGATAACATAAAAAAACCCATAAATGTCAGCTTCCAATATGGACAACAAGAAGTGCAGTAGGCTTATTTTGGACAGAACACCTCCCTGTTCTCAGCACATACACTCAAAACACAGGGCAGAAAAGGAACATTTTTGCAATTATAATTAATCAGCAGTACGTGCAAAACCATCCACATCAGCTCGGAGACTCTGTTCCCTGTAAAGCACAATACTCTTCACATTCCTCCCTCCTGGTATATACTCTGTGACAACTGTAAGCCTATGGTTGGAAGGTCCAACACAAAGTCTACTAATGGCCAAAGGAAGAAAAAAAGAGAAATTGCTACCTCTCAAGATCCTCCAACAGCAACATTCAACCTAAGACAACCTAAGCAACATTCAGCCTAACAAATTGGGCTACATATCACATTACAAAGGAAGGCTAAAGATGAAACTGCGTAAACCCCCATCTACTCTCCAGAACAAGAAAAAAAAAAATCCTGCCAATTTTGTCGAGGGGATTTCCTTCTTACCTCTAAACTTGTGAACACAGTAAGCAGTCAATCTGAGACACCAGACTCCTTTGATATCAACTAAGGATAAGATTTACACGGAAAGTAGTAACAAAAAACTTAAGAGTTTCATTAAAGTTATCAATAAAAAATAATAACCTCACAAGTTATTTTCCTCTTAATGTTTTCTGAGAAATGGTTTCATCTGTCAGGAAATAACTGGCTGTCAAACCAAACCTATTTCAGATTAACTTCCTGTTTCAATAGTACTACATAGCCAAAATATTCCTCTCCCTGCTCTAGACTAATACCAAACTGCTAGACTGATATTTATTTTGGCTAGGCAGTAACTCTTGGGGGCTTTTACCCAACCAAACTTATACACACTACAGCTCTTTAGCCAACAAAACTGGACACTAACAAAAATATTTATGAAACTGGAGACAATGTGAAACTCAGCTGTAATGGGTAAAGATGATTAGCCTTTCCCAGCTAACAGAAATAAACTTTTACCTAGAAATGTATGTAACAGACACAGATCGGTTTCAGTGTGCATGTCCTGTGTATTACGGCTGAAATGGGGCAAACGGACCCAAAGCATTTTTTCCTGCACTTGGAACTGACATCTTTTCCATAAGACAGAATAATCTTTGCACTTCCTCTTGCAGATATACCACCTCAGATTTTAGACTGGCTTGGCTGCTATCTAGGTTAACAAACCATTTTCTCACTGCTATGAAGAAAGAAAAAAATTTCATCAAATTATGTCTTATGTCTTACAATATGTTTAAGTAGATAGAGCGTAAAGTTTAACTGCTAGCTCTGAAGGCCTTTGACTATGAGAATATTAGTTTATCACCATTTTTCATTTAAACACCATTAAAGAGCAGTAAAATTTGCAGAGTGAAGAACTGAGATGTTAAGATTATGTAAGACTGAGTTGTCTTGCATTTCTGCAATGCCCCTTCTTTGCATACATGCACCACGATTAAGATGTGCTCACCACAGTGACTGAACTGCACAGCTTTTACCCCAGTTGCTTTGAAATTTAGGTACTGCTATCTTGGAATGTTATTTATCGTATATTCCCTTCCAGGTCTCTTTCTCCTCCCAACTCTCATTGTCATTACAGAGACAATTAGAAAGCACACAGATGTACAATTCAACGGGAATTAGTTCACACACAGTGTTTTGCTCTGTCCTCCTCTGGCAAGAGCGCAATACTGAGATTCAGCATGAAGCCAGACTGGATCCAGCTGGGGTGAAGACGCGGTGCAAGTTCACACTCCGGCAGCAGCCCGATGGGCAGCTCACAGAGCTCCATCTGACCAGCATGACTCAATCTGAGACCCTTTCCGTGTCATTTTGAGAAGTGCTATGCACATGCTGTTACCACAACTTTCAAATGGAAACAAGGAGTTCAGCACTTCTCCAAATCTCACAATAGGTATTCAGATTAGGCTCTCAAAACAGAAAGCCCCAATCCACCAGCAACTCTTCACAAACTCTAGATCCAGTAACAGGAAGGCTTTTATGAGCCTCTGGTGCTCTGGGAAACTTCACACTAAAGAATACACAAACATTTAACCTGTTCCAACTTCAGTATTTTGTAGAAAAATTAAGGCTGTACTGGATTTTTCTCCTAGTCCTTTTGAAAGTGATTTATTATACTTTTCTCCAGTTATAGCTACATATTGGTAATCTTTCGCTCACATGTCTTTTTATAACAATTTTAGATTACAGTTTCTGAAGTAAATGCTGCTGAAAAAAAGTCTGTAACACTTCAGTAGCAAAGAAGCTGGTAAAAAAAACCAAGCTGTCTTCAGCTGAGACTTAAGACCGTTATGTCATAAAGATCATTTTATGCCAGTTAGTAAAATACAAAGCACTCCATACCATATCTACTTGGATCAAGAAAATTTAAGAACAACTTTATGCATACATCCTTCTGAACACACACACAAAAAAAAAAAATCTCAAGTATTTTTTAAAGCAACAGCAGAAATCCAGTGGCATTTATTGGCACAATCTTATAAACGTGCAGAATCACAGCCCAAAAGGAAAACTGTTTGTCAAAGCTTATTAACTTCTGTGTTCAGATGTTGATTTTTCTTGTGACAGATAAGCAATATTAAACAAAAAAATATAAGTCTTTAAAATATTACTTTGCAGCTCACAAACATTTACCTATATACTAATAACTATGACTTGCAATCATCTCTCATCCACCACTCAGTACAATGAGTTTAACCAGCAGACTTTTCTCCCTCCTGTTATACATATTTGCCTATTTGTTTTCTGAAACACATTTATCATAGGACACATCCCTACAGAAATAAACATGCTACAGTGTTTAAAAGTCAACTGGTTAAGTAAAAAGGCTAGAAAGTTTACTGCAATTATTACAGAAAAGATACTTACACGGACTAACATCTCTGTATCTGTTTCGATTTCTGTTTTCTGGATATTTTGCAACTCTGTGAGGGTAGTCACTGGATTTGTGTCGAATTTCCTTTAAAAGACAAAAAATGTAATTTACTTATAGCCAGTAAGCTGATTAAGGTTATTGTTCTACACATCCCACTGTAAGACTTTCAAGCTTATTAATTAATCAAGGTTATTAATATTTTTAAACAAACCTGTACTACGCCTAGTGTTATTTTCACTCAGAAAACATCTCATTCTTGGCCAAGCTGTTGCCATTTAGATCTTCCCACATTGGGCTAACAGCACCAAACTAACACAAGCACAATGTGGTACGCAACTGATGTGGCAGGAACAAAGGGGAAAAAAGCAGGACAAACCCCCACAAAGGTAACTGAACTAGTTAAAGATTTTATGGCTGCTGTTAACAGCCACAAGATTATTCTTAGTGGTTTGATGGTTCAACCCTTATAGCTGTAGGTAAACACGATCTAATACGAAGGAGTAATTCCAGACTCACAAGTGACAATGTGAATCACAGCCTGCTGCTGCCCAGGCATTAATACAAACCTTTCAACAACCTGCAGTTGGAAGATATTCAAACATACTCGAAAGGAGGGTGTAGAGAGGTGGGCGTCGGCCTGTTCAACCAAAGTAACAAGCGACAGGACAAGAAGAAATGGCCTCGAGTTGCACCAAGGGAAGTTTAAATTGGATATTAAGAAGAACGTCTTTACTGAAAGGGTTATCATGTGTGGGAAGGGGCGGCCCAGGGCAGTTGTGGGGACCCCATCCCTGGAGGGATTTAAGAGTCATGTAGACACAGTGCTGAGGGACAGAGTTTAGTGGGGGACTTGTCAGCGTGAGGTTAATGATGGCACCCGATGATCTTGGAGGTTTTTTCCAATGTGGGCAATTCTGTGATTTACACACTATTTTAAGGAGCAAACTGTTCACATACTCTCAATGTTCAGTTTTATTATTTTTTTGCCTCCGAGTGTCTCTTTCCCACAATTTCACAAGGGCACACAGATTTACCTTATGGAGACAACTGAAAAACCAGCTAAAGTGTTATTGATGAGAAGCCTCCAATGAACTGAACTATCTCTTTATATCTCTGTACTGATGCCATTTCATCAGGCATGTATGATATAGAATAAACAATATTTTATTTTTAATTCTTTTGTTTTTAGATGCTGCTGCTACATGTGATCACTACGTTCCAAAGAGCATTTAAACTTCTCTTTACAACTGAGCATTCTTTGGTCTTCTCTATGTCTCCACTATCTTCTACATCTTATCAAACTTCCCAAGTAGTCTACATATTCCCAGACAATGAACACAGCCAAAAGGACTTCAGTGGAAACCTGACATACATAAGGAAGCTCCATTCTTTAGCATCTGGTGTGTGATATTACCTAAGTGCAGTGTCAACCTGTAAAGAACCTAAACCACAACATGGAGCAGCAACTGTCGAGCCCCAATGCTCTACATACTTGTATAGAAATCTCTTGATCTACTAGACAATCAGCTTTTTTATTTTGATACAGCACACCAGAACTCGTCTTTCCCTCTAGCTGATACAGCTTACAAGCTTCGGGAGCATTCACATGCATGGTGAATAAATGCACCTGGCAGGCACTCTCAACCAAGCTCCCATGAAATACAAATTTTGTAGTACTTCATAACAAGATGCGACATACTTTGTTTTTAAAAGCACTCACATCCTCTACGCACAGAAACAGACCTGTAATTTGGCCAAGATACACTAAAGCAGTTAGAAACATTGTTACAGTGATGGGGGGGGTGGCAGGCTTCCTAAAAAGAATTAATCCTAAAGAAGTTTAATTACTAGTTCTGTAATCAGTTTTCCCATATACAATCCAGTCATCACAAACTGGACAAACAAACTAGATGACAGATGTAATGTAAAGCATACTACACAAGAAAAACTTGCTTTGGGGGGAAAAAAATAAAATCAGTTTTATTTATTCAGTCATTAATTCGGATTGGACAAGAGCGCCAGGAGTCAGCATAAATATTCCAAGCTTCACGGGATTTTACCTCAAGCCTCAGTAAATTCATGGAACTGAAGGGCAAATATACAAAACTAATCTCAGAAAGAATTAAAAAAAACCCTAAAACTCAACTTTTTTTTCCTCAGAGAAACTTACACCTCTCAGGGCAAGTATGTATGCTTCTTATATAACACTATAATAGGAAAATACCTTACTAAACAAAAACTCAGTGTAAAAACAAGTAGTCAGCAATTGGAGTATTTTCTACAAGTTTGTGCTATTTAAAAATATCATTTGCTGTTTTCTCTTTATATTTTTAAGCAGATGTGTATTCTTTGGTTTTAATATAAACCAGATGCATTAAGTACCTTAAAAAAATCCTGAGTTTGCAAAATCTACAACATTTGGGGAAATACAAAATTCTATTACAAAAAAACTTTATTAAAAATTACAGTATAGCTGTAGTAAAATTAGGAAATCCACATACAGAGTTCAGCAGAGCTTAATATACAATTTTCTCTTCAGCTAACTTCTCCAAGTACAACTAAATAATACATAAACGGCTTGGGAAAGCTAATTTGTTCAGTCTGGAACAACCAGGTGTAACAGTGTGTGCACTTTTCTGCCTCACAAAAAGTACTGGTTGCAGGATTCTTCCCGCACGTTCTTCTCTCATTAACTTAGCGCAGTTTATTCCTGCTATTCCCTATTAAGTTCAAACCACATTTCAGTTCTGTAATACGTGTCTAGAGAGAACGTATTTGAAATACACGCCAACCAAATACACTGCTAATTGAACAGAGAAAACGCACACGTTAAAGCTGGTAAAGAGACCTTTGGGTGTGGGTTGTTTTTCCTCATTTGTGGGAGAGCACTGCAAGACACACGCAGGCTCAAGCAACTGCTGGAGCAGCGTACAAATAACTGCTGGAGCACTGTGCGCTTCTGCAGCCCGCCTGTTCCACGGACCTGACCCCAGGCTACTGCTGCACGTTACTTCTCTAGTTGTTTCCAGCGGGAGAGCACAAGCAGCGCATTTTCTGAGCGCTCACGGCGCAGGCCGCTGCG